GGCAAGGACAGTTGCAGCTGAATGACTCAGCAAGTATGACCACCTGGCAGGGCTTCTCGAAGCTGTTATGAGCTCGACCCAGTCGTAACAAAGCTCATTGAGGTTTAGATCTAGGACTCTGCCACTGGGAATACTCTTTCTTCTTCAAGATAGATTAAAGGAGAAACTCACAAACTGTATAGGAACCACAAATTTCTTCTTAAAGATAACGTCATGTCAAAGAAAAATAAATATATTTTTGTTGTACATTTACCACTAAGATACATCAGCACAACACCTAGTATCATAAGTAATGGGTATGTGTATATAGATAGATAGGTAGATAGATAGATAGATATGCTCATGTTAAGACTAGAAAAGAAAAAAAACTTTCTTCCAAGTAAAATGATTTTATCTGAACTTACGATGTTGAAGGAAACACACTACTCATTTTCTCTTTTCAAGTTGAAGCAAATTTCTCTTAACATAATATGTATTGCAATAATAGCATCTAGTTAAGATTTCATTATGACATTTCAGTTCAATATAATACACAATCCCTGCCATGTTTTTATAAAACATTACTCTGTATGAGATATTCACATTAACTACAATTGCTGAAATGACTGATGTTTAAATCTAATGACAGTTTCTATCATTATTAAACTTCATTATAAAATAAAGTCTGTGGGTGGAATTGTGGCTTGATGCTTTTGTAATTTGCTCTCTACCTTTTCAATGTACTTTTCAGTTACATCAACTGAATCATTTCATCTTATAGATGCAAAGATGAAGGAAAAGAACAAAAACATGGCCATTAACGGAAGCAGTGCAAATGTGCATAGTTAATGGAAACCATTTTGACATTTTGTATTTGATTCCATGGTATACCTACTCAAACAATTTCAATGGCATATTAGAACAAAATGCTACATTGTACTCTTCACTAAGAATGCGAGTAATAGACTTCAAAAATTACCTTTTCACTGAAAGTATTATCTGCTGGAAATGAAGAAATGTTTTACATTATGAGAGGCTAATAGCAGCGAGAAGGAGCGAGGGGCTGGCAGGATAGCTCAGGCAGGGGAGGAACTTGACTCTTTACTCTCCAAAATATATTCTTCCATTTTGCAAAGCACAATAACAATATTCCCCTTCAATATTTTGGGTTCTAATATTACGGATTCTAGTTTCCTATGTCTTCTGTCTGCATTATTACTAATGTGAGCACAGGATCACATCCTAGTTATGATGGAATCAAGATCTCTATTTACCACGGGATCAAAATGTAAGGCATAATGGCTGCTTTGAATATGCTAATTTTGATTCTGGGAGAAAAATTTCCTTTCTAAAAATACACGAAGAGTTAAAAAAAAATCTGAACATAGAAAAAATAACTACTTGATCCCCATTGCTCATGCTAATAGGCAGCTCATTTACTGGGGGAGTAAAGGTAGGTCCCATGGGTTCTGCTAAAGATGTGGTTGATTAGGGGCATTCTGATGTAGGACAGGAAAGAGGATGCCTACGCATTGGAGGAAGTAGTCCCGGTTGCGGGAGGTGTAGTCACCTTCTATACCATTCATTAAAGTACTTTCACATAGACAGTTGATTGTCATAACAACTCTGTGAAGCAAGCATGATTTCCTTCATTTTTCTCACATGAAAACTGAGGCTGAGAGACATTATGTAATTTGCACAAGTTCACATGTCCAATAAGACACATAACCGGGAAATGAACCCCTCTCTCGACTCTATTCAGGGAAAATGTGGAGGTGGAGAGAAAAAAGGGAAAACAAATTAGTTTTACAAGACAGAGTATAAGAAAACTTTTGCTTGGCACCGAGCAGGTTAACTGTGTAGGTTGACACTGACTCAAAGGCGGAAACAAGGATGATGGAAGAGAAGACAATGAATGATACAACCGGAAGTTGATTTTGTTTGCGGCAGTCTAAATGGCATAAATTAACCAGATGGCAAATGACTTGGTATTTGATAGCATGTTCTAGCAGAAAGAAATATCAAGATCTGATCTCCCTGGCATCTGCTCTGCAGCTGACTGCACTGATGTGATCAAGCCACTGCCCACCATGGGCAGGAGCCCAATGCTCACTTCAGGGAGTCTCTGCCCTGATGCTTTGGTAATCTGATGGAGAAGAGGCAAGCAGAAGCTGGGTCAGAGCTACCAGGAAACCCAAAGACTTACTTCTGTAGGAGAGGAAAGGATGATATGCTTTGGGGAGAAAAGACAAAGAAGGGAAACCCCACTGCAACATCTTTTTTACTACTTTCTATATCTTTTCTTGCAGTCAACTGCAGCCCAAGTTTCTGGTCCTTGGTCCATTGCAAGTGCCAAGTGGACAGCAGCAGTCCATTGCGTCTCACGGTTATGTAACTCAAGATGGGGCCTCCTGCGAACATGCACCCTTTTCATTGCTTATCTTGGAAGCAGGGGAAAATAAGAGCTCTGAATACTACAAAGTCAATTTTTTTGTTACATGAGAGAAGTAAAATGATAAATGTCTAAAAAAGCCCTAGGTGCCCCCCCCAAAAACTCATATTTTTATATGAAAACATAAATGAGTCAATTCACTGGTTATGCATCCAAACACAAAGCAAAGAACTAACAGTGTAGCTTGTTTGAAAGTCCAAATCTTATTGTCCCGGTCAATTCTTAGGAGGATTGAAACATTGGCATGTGTGTGTGTTGTGGGGAAGAGGTGTATAATGTGAAACTTTTTCTTTCTCACTGGCTTCTTTTTTTTTTTGAGACGGAGTTTTGCTCTCGTTACCCAGGCTGGAGTGCAATGGCGTGATCTCAGCTCACCTCCACCTCCACCTCCTGGGTTCAGGCAATTCTCCTGCCTCAGCCTCCTGAGTAGCTGGGACTACAGGCGTGCACCACCATGCTTGGCTAATTTTTTGTATTTTTAGTAGAGATGGGGTTTCACCATGTTGACCAGGATGGTCTCAATCTCTTGACCTCGTGATCCACCCGCCTCAGCCTCCCAAAGTGCTGGGATTACAGGTGTGAGCCACTGAGCCCGGCCCTGCACTGGCTTCTTTCTTAGCATGGCAAACTTACTCTTTCAGAGCAGTCATCTGGCCCCATCACATTGGTGACCAGCACACGATAGTAAGAATTTATTGTACTCAGTATACACAAACCAGTGAGATTCCTTTCTTGTCTTCATTTTAGATTAAATATATCGACAACTGGTATGCATCTGTTAGCTTCGATGTGTTATGTCCTGAGCTGTAACTCATCTTTGCAAATGCTGCTTTTAAATGGAACATTCCCTCAATCCTGAAGTAAAGCCGCATCTGCAGAGAGGGCAGCCTCTAATTTCTCTGTGAAGAAGCAATCGCCATACTGATTGAGAAATTCTAACGGACAATTTCCAAATAAGGACATCTGCAGTTAGCTGAAGGGCCAGTGCTCCAGGGCAAGTTGGAGACCTGTCATTAGCCTATTGGACAAGTAGCTTATCATGAAAACCATTTAAAGTCTGGCACTCAGCTGGAACAGTACAGTGGTCCCCTCCTAGGAGGGTCAGCAAGTTACAAAGGACTGGGAGAGTTGTGACTTCATATGACGCATGTCAGCCAGGATATGTTGGGTGGGAGGTGGAAAGTTCATGCTCGTGGTGGCCTTCAGAGCTCAGTCCTGAGCACACTGCATAGAAGGTGAGGAGGCACAGACCATCCCCAGACCCATGTGTTTAGTGAAGACTGATGTAAGGGGCTTCCAGGATACACAGGGGCTTAGCTCATGCTGGCGTATGGTCAGAAAAGCACTAAACTTCAAGCACCCCTGTAGGGTTGGGGCAGGAAAAGGCTTGTGAAGTTCCTCAAGGACCACAGACTGGGCAGATAATGCAGCTGATCCTTTTATCAAAAGGGAGCCATGGAAATATAGAAGGCTCATGGACTCCTTCACTTCCGTCTTGAGAGTGGGGGATTGGTTGAGACAGTGTTTTTCTAGATTTTATTTTTATTGGGCACTGTTCACAAGGACAACAACCAGATTTGTAGAGCACTTTCTGCAGGAGCAACATGGATGCTGGCTCAGGTGTTCCAGGTAGAGGGCACAAGCTTTGCTCTCGATTACCTGGGACCATGGTGCCAGGTGGACAGGTGGGGAGACTGAAAAAAGTGTCCTGTGTAAGCATTTGCTTCTTGGTGGAAGCAGACAATGACAGTTTTCATTATAATTGTTATTCAATAAGCGTACAAACATACTTGATTGCTCACATAAAAACATTAGTGCAAAGAATGTGTGTCATGGTGTGCCTATTACATTTGGACATTTACCTATTAAGAAACTTCAGTGTTACCTAAAATATGAAGCAGGATTTGTGAGTAAGTTGAGTAAAATGTACTCTAGAGAAAACGGTCTTTGAACTTCAGGGAAGATTTCTGTTTAAAACTGCTTAGTTTTCACCAAGTAGTACTTTAAAACATATACTGTTTTTTAAGCCAATAAAACATTCCTTAAGTTCTAGCCATTTCCACTGGCAACTATGTACAATGAAGAAAAAGCTGCAGAAATGATCACCTGATGTGTGACTAGTGAAGGTAGACAATGGTGCCAGGTGGTGCCTGGGTGCATAATTATGAGAATAGTGTGTCAAAGCACAGCAATCAATCCCAAAGAAAAATCAACACATATTCAGCATCATCCCTATAGTGTTAGGCTGATTATCCACTTCAAGTAATTGAGGCAGTAAGATGAATGTGTAGAGCAGCCTTTATTTCTCTTTTGGAATGCAGAGCTAGGTATAAAGGTTAACTGGTGGCTTATATTCCTCATCATTCTGTATCTCAGCCACAGATTTCCAAGAAAAGAAAGACTTTTTCCAATGACTGACTAACGTCTACATGGTTTCTATCATCTTTAAACTATGATGTCAATGTGAAATGAGTTTATGATTTTTTTCAATTGCATACACATATGCATAAGTACATAAACACAGAAACATAGAGACACACGCACATATACACAAGCACGTACCACTTACATTACCAGGTGCGTGGACTTCATTCAGTTACATTAAACTTCAAACAGATGCTCTTTAAACAGACTCTACTGTTTTACACCTATGCCTCTAAAAAGGAAGCATGAACTATGTGAACCAGGGGGCACTTCACCCACCCAGCTAAGAAATGGGCTGTGTGATTCCACAATGAGGAACTCTTCTAGGTCTCCATGGGAATTAGAGAATGTTTGTTCCCCTCAGCCCTTGAAGATGCATGGCTGTCTTCCTTGGTGAAACTGAGTGTCTCACACCTGTCATCATTGTGAAAGCTTGAAATCTCTCATGTTAGCTTAGGACCATTGCTGTTTCTCACCTGGGAAGTTAGCAGCCTTTGTGGAGAGAAGATCATTATAAATTCACTGTCTCAGCTTCCACTGCATAAAACCTAAAGTCCTCAGTACCTTTAACATCCCTTAGAAATCTCACTCTTCAAGATTTTAATCTGGGTCTTCTCTAATCCTCCATGCCTGTGATAAGCATCCACACCTTAGGGCTCTATACCTCTTTCGAGGGCCATTTTCAGTTGTCCCGCCTCAATGGACCATTGCTCTAATAAATACCAATGTCTTGTTGCTTTGAACCCCTCATAGTAATTCTTCCTCAGTGCATGTTGGGCACAGTTTGTAGGTTATAGTGTATTCTCCAGAGTTAATGGACTTGGGTTTGACTCCTGGTTCTGCCGCTGTCTTCCGGCAAGTTGTAGAATATGTCTAAGCTGTGTTTCCCACCTCTCCAGGTCACAGCAGTCATATTCTCTCTCATCTAGCAAAGATGTGGGAATTGAAGAATCAAATGCTGATGAAGCACCAAGTCAGGGTACATAATCTGTGCTCCATAAAAACTAGCTTCTGTTTTCACTGCATCCACGTCACACTTCTGTCTCACTTAGGTTTCCTTGTACATATGTGCTTTGTACAGTTGCATCCTCAAGGAGGAGCCCAGATATACACATGTTATGAGGTCAGACATGACCAGGCTTAATTAGAGGGATTTGGGGCCAGCATCCCAAACATCCATTTTCATGAAGAGTCTAGGAAACGCAAAGAAAGAAATGTGCTCTTGAGGGGTGAAAAACTTGGCCAAAAAGGCAGATTGAAGTACAGCTTTTTGTATTTTCTCAAACGTTCCCTTGGCCCAAACCCCCAAGGCTTTTACCCAAGACTGAGATAAATGGGTTCCAACGTATAAATTATAAAATATAGGCAATCAAAACTGAAGGCAAAGGTCTGCACGATTTTGTGCTTAGACTGCAGACTGATGCTATTCCAACTATTCTGCTGAAGTAACTACTGATGCACTCATGGCATGGGTAGAGCAAAGAGGATTTCCCATGGCATACAGTCATCCATAAGAAAAGGGAAGGCTGCAGTCATCTCCAAGACCCAGGGACTTTTATGCTGGGCTGTAATTTCCATGCTGTAGTAACAGCAGACCTTAGAGAATCGAATGGAATCCATGTGACCACAGTAGAGCACGAATGGGAAGCATATGATGTAGTGTGCAGAAGAGGTAGATTTGCTAGCACACTTTTGATGCTACAGTAGAACCTGAGCATTTCCTTAATTAGCTGTATGAGTGTAAGTCAGGCAGGGATTGCTGTGCTCTGCAGAAGTAGGTTCATCTGGTACAGGACTGCTATTGTGCTGCTGCTGGATGGCCTGAGCTTATGAGGTTTGAGGCAAAGGGATCACACATTTTTGTCACAAATAGGTTTTGAATCCCTTGAGGACAGAGACTCATCCATCATTATTAGTCTGCTTGGCTTGCAATAAGAGAATACCAGAGACCAAATAACCTAAGAAATAGAAATGTATTTTTTTTCCTGCCAAAGGAACATGTACTTCCTTCATGAAGAATTTCCTAAACAAATTTTACCAGTTTTATTGCCTATAGAAATTCACCTTAAAAAATTTTTATTTAAATCATATATGTCCCGGGTAGTCTGTGAACTTTTTTTTTACTGCCCAATATTTTATTTTATTATTATACTTAGGGTTCAGAAACAGAAACGTATTTTGTCACAGTTCTGGAGGCTGGGAGCCCAAGATCAAGATGTCTTCAGGTTAGATTTATCGTGACACCTTTCTCCTTGACTTGCAGACAGCTGCCTCTGCCCCGGTGTCCTCACGTGGCCTCTTCTCTGTGCCTGCACTCCTGCTGTCCCCTCCTATTCTTAGAAGGACACCAGTGCTACTGGATAAGGGCCCCACACTTATGACATCATTTAACCTTAATTAAAGATCTTTAAAGATTTTATCTCCAAATATAGTCACACTGGGGTAAGGTCTTCAACATACAGATTTCAGGGAGACACAATTTGGTCCATAACATCATTTTCACCTTATTAAACACAGGCTCACTATAGGTACACAACTTCTTTAAGAAATCTGGATTGTTATAGCAGACCATGAGGGGAAATAGGCTGGGGACTGAACCTTGGAAGTATGAAGATTAAATTCGTTCAAAATAATAAAGTGCCTGGCATATCAGAACTCCATCAGTTCTCACCTGAAAAGCCACCCCAAGTTAGCCATGCCTAAAGAAACTTTAACAGGGTGTTTATTAAGTCCCTAGAAGATGAAATACCGGAAACCTTTTATTCTTTCAGTGAGCTGAATGAGAAAAGCATTAGAAAGGAACAAAAGTAAGGTTCTGTGACTGATGGCTGAGAGTAGGAGGAAGCGTAGATCCCAGAAGACCCAGGAGGGTTTCGTTGTTCACGCGGCTCTAATGCTCAGTATATCACATCAGCCACTAGAAAACTAAAACAAAAAGTGGTGTGACATGTAAGTAGGTGCCCACTGCTACCACCTGTTATAGCTTAGAAATGTTAATGCTACTTGGTTAATGCAATAATTCAAAGATGTTCACTACAGCATTATTTATAAAGTAGAAAAGCTAACAGAGACCATGTCTTTAATATTTCACATTTGGTTCAGTAAATTTTGATATAATCACATTATAGACAATTACACAATTCTAAAAAGTGATCATTACAAAATGTTTGTGCTAATGTAAAAAGTGCTTATTTCTTCATATGTAAAGTCTATCCAGGAGTCAACACACACACACACACACACACACACACACAGAGTTGTATAGTACAGCAATTACATAAAAGGCACATTAAAGGGGCTAGAAGAATGTATGTCAAAATGTAAAAATGATTATTTTTAGTTGGTGGCACTATTAGTGTTTTTAATTTTTTTGTGTTTTCAATATTGTAATACACTTGAAGTATAAGTATCATAAAAATGAAATAAAATATATGTATATTTCAAATAATTTTCACTGCTAAATTACCATATCAAATAGTTGTATCTATTCTGTTTCTGCCAACCATGTGTGAGAGCCCCTCCCTGCCCCCTCAGTTACATGGATCCTATTCTACTCCCTTCTGCATTCCTTCTTCTGTAGCAAATTGGATGGCACCTGCCATCTTGTTGAATGAATGAATGACTACTCTAAGAGATTTTCTGCAGTTGATGTCTTTCTTTTCATTCCCACTGCCCCTTCTTCTCCTGTGCCTGGCCCAAAATTTTGCAATGGCCCCTGACTAATCTCCCCACAACTCACTTCCTTTCTTCCTATTGCCCTGGCAACTTGCTTTGTTTCCTGAGTGAGTAATGGAAACTTATTGAATCTCAGTTCTTCTTTTTTTTTTTGGAATAAAAAAGTTGTAAAGTGCTTGAAAAACACTAGGCAGCAGAGGGGAGAGCACAGAGGTTTGACTGACTTCTCTGTGAAACGATATCCCCCTCCCCCAGTGCCATGCAGATATGCCTTCTGTAAAAGCTGTGGAAGATTGAAAATAAAAGCAGAAGAAAATGAATCATTTCCATGCCTATGGGACAGGAAAGAAGTTAAAGATAAGTAAAAGATAGTCTCTGCAGAAAGGAAATAAAATCAAGATTAAAAACTGTGCTTTTCTCTCATTCTCCACAGAATACACTCTTGGTTCCTTTATCCTTCGATAATGTGGCACAGATGCACTGGAATACTATGAGATAGGAGACAAGAATATGAACAATGAGCTGCATTTTTTTCTTGCCTCTTCTAAAATTGGTCTTCAGCAAAGTGAAAAGGAAGGTTTGATTGCTACATCAAAGCATCTCTCCAGAATTCAAACTAAGACTTAACTTCCTTCTAACAAAACTAACTTAAAAAAATAAAAAACCCACATACATGCATACATAGCTTACCGAAGACCCTTTAACTCCTCTATTAAAATATTACAATCCGGTTCATTGCAACTGGATGTGAACTAGGTTAAGCATTCATTCTAAACAGGTAACAAATATTAGGGACTTAAATTTCCCGGAATTTTAACCTCTGCCCCTGCCCCATGTTGAATAGATTCTGAGAGTAGGAATGATTACAGAGCTTGCTTTGGAAACGCTGGTGTGGTTGCTATGGCAACAAAACTTTAGGGCATTGTTGTCTACATGGAATCACAAAATGACAGATGGCCCATTATGGAACTGTACATATTTGAAGATGAAAAGAAAATACATCACTCTAAAGTCCATTCGTTGTGCTATTGCAGAAGAGTTGGGATATGATAACTGAGTGGGGTGAGAATAAGAAACCAGAAAGGGAAGGTTAAAATAAAAATTTCTTCATCTTGAAAGTTTGTCAACCTTCTTGAAGACTGCTCATAGATCACTGTCTCTCCCTATCCATACAGAGAATTCTATCCTATTAGGTATTTATTTGGCACTGCTTACTGCAAATTAGAAACTTCCTTCATCATCACTGTAGTTATGAGGTCAAAGTAAAACTGATTAAAAGCAAGAGGGTAGAACTCTTACATAAGTACTAACGGGATGGTTTGGTTTCCTTCCCCATCCTTGGGGTGGTTTGGGCATGCGCTAGAAGGTGCAGATGATGAAGCAACTGGAAAGGCTGAGTGTGTTTCCCTGTAGTTCTTTCCAGGATAGACCAGTTTGGATTACAGGTCAAAATAAAATCAAACTCCAAATGCATGCTGTGAAGTTCTAAGCTAGGTCCTTAAAGCTGTAGCTGTGGATTCAGACAATAAGGTTAGCAGAAACTATTACAACAAGCTTAGCAAGGCTGCGGCTATGACTCATGCCTGTAATTCCAG